TAAGTGTGGACTTTTATTTATCCTTATCATGGTTCACAGTTATTTTTGATCCTGACAATTTCTTTTATTTTAATTCTGTTGAAATTCTCATTCATAATTTCTTTTAATATTGGCTCTATACTCGTTCTCTATGTTTTCATTACAAGATACCTATGAGACCTTTTGCTTTAATCCTCCATGTTTCTTAAACTCACATAGTTTCCTCTCTCAACTCTTCTCTTCTGCCTTCTGGTAATTTTCTTTAGTCTCTATTCCAGTTCATCAATTTTCTCCTCATTTTGATTGATGCCTCTTTTTGACTCATCCATTCACAATTTAATTTTAAAGATTACAATTTTTATTTCTGGACACATTCTAGAAATCTACCTGTTCTTTCATTTATTTTATTCCTATAAATTGAGTTCCTCTTTTATGGTATTCATCATCTTGAGTTTACACTTGATCCATGAACAACACAGGCTTGAACTGTGCAGGTCCACTTATACGTGAATTTTTTTTACAGTACGATGATATAAATGTATTTCTTTTCCTTATGATTTTCTTAGTAACACTTTCTTTTTTATGGCTTCCTTTATTGTGATAATACAGTATGTAGTGCATATAACAGAAAATATGTGTCAATCTATGATTTATGTTATCAGTAAGGCTTCCAGTCAATAGTAGACTCTTAGTAGTTAAGTATTTACGGAGTTAAACATTTAATACGGATTTTCAACTGCACAACATGGGATGAGGAATGGAGTAGTGTCAGTGCCTCTAACAACTATACTGTATTAGGTTCTTTTTTTTTTTTTTAATCAAATTCTTAGGAGTGTGATCTGTCTGCAGATCACTGACTCACTTGGGATAGAGTGTTTTCTTAAGTGTTTTGTAATTTTAGATTGTGAGCTCATCTTCGAGGAGCTGTAAACGTGAGAATCATGTGTTTCTTGGGCTGAGGATTTGTCCTTCCAAAGAAATCCTTCCAGGCACTTTCATTTTATTGTTGCTCATTTCTTAATATGGAGGTTCATTGTCCATGTGGTTATTTAAATTTGAATTTCAAACCCACCTGACATACCAGCCCATGATTAATCTTCAAAGGGAAATGTTTTTCCCATTCACTCAGAGGCCAGGCAGAGTGAAAGAAGGCTCCTCATCTCTCTGAGCTTAAGAATAGATTTTTTTACTCCAGACTACCCTTTGACTTTAGGCCTAGCCTTGAAAAAAACCCTCAAATTTAGCTCTCTGCTCCTTCTTTTCAAGCTCTTATGTTCTGTCCCTACATGTATTAAAACTCCATACTGACAGTCCCACATTTAGGCCCCTACTGCTTTTTTCTGCTGCTGCTTTTTCCCAAGCATCTAGAATTTTCCTTTCTTTCCTAAAACCTCATCAGCGCAATTTTTTTTTTTGAAATTGTGATCCATTTTATCCACCGTTTCTAGATGTTTGACCCAAAAAGGTTTTCTACTAAAATATGAATACTTTGCTTAACTAAAGATGTGGAGTATGAAAAGTTTGTTGAGGAATTTTTACATATCGAAATTACATGTTTTACTTGTCTTTTGTCCAGAAAGGTGCAGTTCAGTGGATATGTTTACCCTTTTGCCTGTTGGAGCTATGGTACAATCTAGATAACAGCATTATAAAATACATTTAAGCAAAACTTCCAAAGCAGAAAATAAAAATGGAAAGAGAATCATATCAAAGTCTATGTTTAGATATGAGTTTTTGTTCCAGGACATTTCAGTTTGCATATACAAATTATTCTCTTTCTCAGCATTATTTACTGTTACCTACAATATTAGCAGCATCTTTATTTGGCTCTCACCTTTTTCTCTTTACAACTTATATGGGTGACTCTTGAACAACAAAGGGATTAAGGGTGCCAACCCTCTGCACAGTTGAAAACCCACATATAAATTGTGACTTCCTGAAAACTTAACCACTAATATCCTACTATTGGCTGGAGCCTTACTGATAGCATAAACAATCAGTTAACATGTATTTTCTATATTATATGTATTATATACCATATTCTTACAATAAAACAAGCTAGAGAAAAGAAAATGTTATTAAGAAAATCACAAGGAGGGGATCTGTGGATGGCTCAGTGGTTTAGCATCTGCCTTGGGCCCAGGATGTGATCCTGGAGTCCTGGTATCAAGTCCCCCATCAGGCTCCATGCATAGAGCCTGCTTCTCCCTCTGCCTGTGTCTCTGCCTCTCTCTCTCTCTCTCTCTCTCTCTCTCTCTCTCTCTGTGTCTCTCATGAATAAATAAATAAAATTAAAAAAAAAATCACAAGGAGCAGGGTACCTGGGTGGCTCAGTCGGTTAAGCATGCAGCTCTTGGTTTCAGTGCAGGTCATGATCTTGTGGTCGTGGGATCGAGCCTTGAGTGGGCCTACACACTCAGTGCAGACTCTTCTTCAGATTCTTTCTCTCTCCCTCGTTGCTCCTCCCTGTTCATGCCCTCTCTCTCAAATAAATAAAATATTTAAAGAAAATCACAAGGTGGGCTACCTGCATGGCTTAGTTGGTTAAGCGTCCAACTCTTGGTTTTGGCTCAGGTTATGATCTCAGGGTAGTGAGATCTGATCCCCACATCAGGCTCCACACTCAGCGCAGAATCTGCTTGAGAGTCTCTCTCCTTCTCCCTTTGCTTGCACACACATGCTCTCTCTCTCTGAAATAAATCTTATTAAAAAAATCACAAGGAAGAGAAAATACATTTACAGTACTGTAATGTGAAAAATTCCACATATAAGTGGACCCACATAGTCATTCAAGGGTTAGCTATACAATGTATTGGGCTTTATATATATATTTTTAAAGTTATTATTTATTTATTTATGATAGTCACAGAGAGAGAGAGGCAGAGACACAGGCAGAGGGAGAAGCAGGCTCCATGCACCGGGAGCCCGATGTGGGATTCAATCCCGGGTCTCCAGGATCGCGCCCTGGGCCAAAGGCAGGCGCTAAACCGCTGCACCACCCAGGGATCCCTGGGCTTTATATTTTAAATAGAAGAAAATATTGAACAAGACTGAGAAATCCCAGTATTTTCATTTTAACCTGGCAGTCTTAACCTTTGATTTCTTAGCTTATAAAAGCTGTTCAATGAAAATGATTAGATTTGAGATTTGGTATGTTTTATTTTGTGTGTGTGTAGTAAAATTATATAAAATTTGCCATTTTCCTCATTTTAAAATCTACAGTTCATTTGCATTACGTACATTCACATTGTCAATCATTGCCACAATCTGTCTCCAGAAATTTTTCATCCACACTGATACTCATATGTTTTAAACAATACCTCTTCATTTCCCTTCTGCCCCAGTCATTGGCAGCCATGATTCTTTCTGTCTCTGAATCTGACTACTGTAGGTACGTTATATAAATGGAATCCTATAGTATTTCTCCTTTCATGACTGGATTGTTTCCCTTAGCATAATATCTTTGAGAGTCATCCATGTTGAAACATGTCAGAATTTCCTCATTTTCAAGATTGAACAATATTCCAGTGTATGTTTACACTATATTTTGTTTATCCGTTTGTCTAAAAATGGATACTTGGGCTGCTTCTTTTTGGCTACTGTGAGTAATGCTGCTGTGAACATGAGTGTGGCATGCTTTTAAAACATGTGGTGAGACGCATAAAATTTGTTATTTTAAAATTCTAATAGCATTATCTTACGAGTTTATTGCCTATAACCATGTGAAAATCATGAGAGGTTGAATAGGCTTTCACCTTTGAGTGATGATGAATATAGTCCTAAGAGACAGGGCTAGGCTGTGGCAGCAAAGAAATAGGCTATTTGGACTTACCCGGGGAGAGAGAAGGAGCCAGGGCTAGGAGTGCTTGGTCTGAGTTTGGAAAAGGTTTGTGGAGGGAATACTTGCAAAGGTGCAAACCAGGGAACTAGGAAAACAGCGGGCCTTTAGGGCCACAAAATGAGTCCAGCAGCATGGGGGTTAGCAGTGGTGGGCTCTGATCAAAGGGTGAGGGGTGGAGGAGGGTGGTGCTCTGCAGTTCCTGGGCTCAGCAGAACTAAAGTTCTTTGCTAACAGGAAAAGCAAAATTAACCATTAAGGCAGCATGGGGCTACTGAGGCTACATCGTGCTAAGTTAATTGATAAGTTCCCATTGGAGAGTCTTCATTTCCATTGTATGGAGAATAATCTTCCAAAATAAATATATTACTCTGTGTAAAGAAGAAATGAAGAATTCTTTTTACATCGAATGAGACAAATTTCACACTTCGAATACTGACCCAAACTTGGCTTAAGCCTTCTTTCCCACAAGTTATAGATAAGGGAATAGAAGCAAGACCACAGAAATCTGCAGGGGCAGGGGAAACATACTTATTTTTAAAAATAAAAGGGGGGGGCAGCCCGGGTGGCTCAGCAGTTTAGCACCGCCTTCAGCCCAGGGTGTGATCCTGGAGACCTGGGATCGAGTCCCATGTCAGGCTCCCTGCGTGGAGCCTGCTTCTCCCTCTGCCGTGTCTCTGCCTCTCTCTCTCTCTCTCTCTCTCTCTCTCTCTCTCTCTCTCTCTCTCTTTCTCTCATGAATAAATAAAATCTTTAAACAAATAAAATAAATAAAAATGAGAAGGGAGTGGACTTCTCAAAGCCTAGAAGTTTCCCAGCGTTTTTCTCTTGTGCAGAAAACACTTGAAATTTCTAAACTATTTTTGTCACTGCTTTGCATATTTCTTTGAATAATGACTAGCAAAAGAACAAATTTTATTTAATAGTCTTCAGACTTCCAACATTAAATGAAATTGTCCCAAGAGCACTGTTTGGAAAACCACTGAATTGACATGTGAGCCAAATATCAAAAAAGGTGAAAAGGTAAGTTGACATGTTTATTGTTGTTTTCACAAAATAGTTACCCTTTTTTCTGTTGTATTAACAAGTAAGATTTTTATTAACTTTTTTTGGTCATACTGTAAGAATAAATTTGTAGCACAAGTTTTAAAGTTATTTTTCATAGTCTCTTTTTGTTTTTCAGATTTTTTGTTTAAGTTCTTGGTTATTGGAAATGCAGGAACTGGCAAGTCCTGCTTGCTTCATCAGTTTATTGAAAAAAAATGTAAGTGACATCAGATGGTCAGTGTTTTTATGCATGTCTTCCCCTGAGAGTTATCTTTTGCTCAGATTTGTTTATAGCAGATAATATTTCCTGAATATTATTTCAAGAAAAAAGTTATAGTTTAAAAGTTTGTTAAAATAATATTCATTTGTTATATTAAACTTCTAGCAGCATGATTGCATTTTTAAGTTATTTCAGTTTTATAGTCGTTCATTATTCAATATATTATCCTACTATACATTTTCCAGATACTAAAATACATTCTAGATATTGAAGTACAACATGGTGAGATGGAAGGTGCAGAGGAATTTCCTTTCCTGACAGGGAGCCGCCCAAGAAGCCTGAGTAGTAGTACATTGTAGATAAAACAGCCATGTTGGGTCCTCAGTGGCCTAGTATTATAGTGAAGGCAGTTATTGTTATCAACTGTCATCAGTTCTGTTTTGCAGGTTTAGAGAAGTGGAATGTATACTCTTGGGATGGTCACCTAGAATTGGTTGACCACAGACCCATCTTTTTGCCATTGACTTGCATTGTTTTCATAAGGGAAGTTGAATTTTTTATTCCAAAGTATTGTAAAAGACTTGTAAGTTTGAAAGCCCCTTTAAATAAACAGTGCTTTTATAATAATAGAATTATGGAGGATGATCTGTTTTATGGCAGTTGAGTGAAGGCACAAAAACAATTTTACTTACTGCAGTGCATCTGAAGCATGTGTGTGTAAGTGATGGTGGGCAAAATAGAGAAAGAGTAGAGGAAGGCTTTGGCAAGGAGCTTTGAAGAATAAAATTGTAGAAATGTATTCTGCAACTTCCGTTTTCATTATCCAAGAGTGTATTGGTACCACTGTCCAGTGACACAGAGCCAGTCCTTACTGAATGTAACAAGTATTCACTCAGGAACGGATGCCCTGAGGACATTGGGCCCAGAACCTGCCCATTTATTAATCTTTGTGTGAGCTCTCCCTTGACAGTCCTCCCCTAACTCCTCACCACAGAGACGGGTATGTGTGTTGGGTTAGTCTGCATGGTTTATAGCATGATGGGAAGGACTTCACTTTATTCCTTTTGTGGCCATGCTGTCATCAAAACACCCTTGGACTTCAGCGATCACCCTTTGAGACTTTTACTCTGCGGTTTCTCGGTAGCTTGATTCTAGAATGTCCACACTAGTTCCACATCATCTGAGACAGGCTGGTGTGGTCAGTATTAACCTATCATCACCTTCACCTCCCACCCCCAGGAAACCCTCAACACACCGTCAAGTAGCATTCATGATTTCTAGCACACTTGGATTCTGCCCTAAAGTTATGAAGTATAAGTCAGTCATGGGCTGTATAGCCATAATATTAGCTGCTAGCCCAGCTCTTCATCACCACAGAATTGTTTTTTCACAGACAGCTCATCCCAGGTAGGTTTAGCGAGCTACTTACTTTGCCACCCTCCCAGTACAGATAGTATTGACTTCTCCAGCAAATTCATTCAAAATTATTGCTACTCAATACTAAAATTCATGGAAACTCAATAGCTATATTATGGATAGAGTTTTTGGTTTTTGTTTTGTTTGGTTTCATTTTATTTTATTTATCTTTTCCTCTTTTTCCCTTAATCTTTGGTGTCTATCAAGTTTCTTTTTGGGCCTACAGTGCTTTTCCTTCCCTTTTATTTCTCTTGAATATTTATCCATTCAAATATTAGAAACAATCACCACCTCATTCCTGACCAAGTTGCAAGTCTGTCACTGGGCATCCCTTCAGGATGGCACCCAGGTATTTTATGCAGTCCCCATATGGCAGTACTCTAACAGTGGTCAGGTAGATATGGTTCTCATGTGCCATAGCCACTTCCAAGCTTAGGCTTTAAAGTGAATGGTTTGCTTCAGGGATTTTGTGAAAGAGCCTTATTGTCTCTTTCAGAGTAGGAACTGTGTGTGTGTTCTGTTTAAAACAGTGAGTGCTTCTTATCAACTGACTATTGGAGAATGAAAGGCTACAGTAAATTACATTTCCATTGACTTTAACCCATGATTTTATTTGTTTAAGTCTGTGTTTTTTTAATGTTCTGAAATTAAATATCTTGTTCTTTTTCTTTTTCAGTCAAAGATGACTCAAATCATACAATAGGAGTGGAATTTGGTTCAAAGATAATAAATGTTGGTGGTAAATATGTAAAGTTACAGATATGGGATACAGCAGGCCAAGAACGATTCAGGTAGCTTTCTCTCTAATTTAATAAAAATATTTGAAAATTGGATTTGAAATAATCAATTACAGTCTCTTCATATATATAGTCTCCTCCTCCCCTGCACAGATTTCAAAAACTTCACCTCTGGAAGCTTTAACACAAGCTAAAAGTCTCTCTGCAGCATTAGAAAAATGCATTAGAATCTCTTTTGAGTGAACACACCCTAATGTAGAGGCTAATTTATTCTTTGGGACTAGTGAGTACATTAGGAGGATGTGGCATTGCTTATTCTACAGAATACTTTTAGATTAAAATGAAGGCAAACAAATAGTAAAACAGTTTTTCTCTTTGATTTTTATTTTTTTATTTTTATTTTTTTAAAGATTTATTTATTTATTCGGGGGGTGGGGGGACAGAGACACAGACAGAGGGAGAAGCAGGCTCCATGCAGGGAGCCTGACATGGGACTCGATCCCAGGTCTCCAGGATCACACTCCAGGCTGTAGGCGGCACTAAACCGCTGCGCCACCGGGGCTGCCCTTCTCTTTGATTTTTCTTTTTTTTTGATATTTTTTTTTTTTTTTTTTTATGATAGTCACAGAGAGAGAAAGAGAGAGAGGCAGAGACATAGGCAGAGGGAGAAGCAGGCTCCATGCACCGGGAGCCCGATGTGGGATTCGATCCCGGGTCTCCAGGATCGTGCCCTGGGCCAAAGGCAGGCGCCAAACCGCTGCGCCACCCAGGGATCCCCTCTTTGATTTTTTAAAGGAGAATTTTTTAAAACCTCTTTTGGAGTTTTCTTTTGTTTTACATTAACTAGAGCATGTTCTGATGGTTGATATACATTCCACCAGATACTCTCTCCTGCACAGTTTTATTATACTGCAGTCATAATCAATGTTTGGAGTGATGAAGATCACTGCAGATGAGGTTACATGTTTAATACACCGTAATTACTAAAGCAAGAAAATGGATTAATATTCTAGTTGTGTTTTTTGAACAAATACACAAAATCAAAAAAGAACAGATATTCACAGTTTTAAATTTTTTTTAAGAGAGTTTTTTTTTTTAAGATTTTATTTATTTATTCATGAGAGACACAGAGAGAAAGAGAGAGAGAGGCAGAGACACAGGCAGAGGGAGAAGCAGGCTCCATGCAGGGAGCCCGACGTGGGACTCGATCCTGGGTCTCCAGGATCAGGCCCTGGGCTGAAGGCTGCACTAAACCTCTGAGCCACCAGGGCTGCCCCACAGTTTTAAATTTTAGTTAAGTAAAACTCACTCTCACTTATAGCATTAAAATCAGGTATATATTTGAAATGTTCAATAACTATTTGCTTTGAAAATTTTTAAATATGAAAACCACTTCTGGAACCACTGATTGAACATTGTGGATTCAGTCCAGATTTAAATGTTTTCTTACCCTCAAACCCTCCCTGAAATGATTATAAAACAACAGAAATAGCATAATTCACAAAGACCCAGAAAGGGAGACTCCATAATTACGATGAAGAGATTTCAGAGATATGTTAGAGATAAGATGTGAATGGTTGACTGCCTGAGTGCTGAGGGAGCTGCATCTTAAGTATCTGTGAAGGGGGAAAGCCAGTGAGCTGGAGGTCAGTTCCTCTGAATCCTGGAAGAGGTCAGGATGTGGAAGCATTAGGTTCTGCAGGAGGAAGGGTGAAGGTGTTTACATATGTGTGTGCACACACCCATGCGGTGAGAAGTTCAGTATCTGAGTTGAAACAGGGTCAAGACACAAAGTCCAAAGGCACAGCAGCGGAGGACAGACAGGGATGAGGGAAGGACTGAAAAGAGGGATGTTAGTGCAAGTCTGCGACTCCTGACCCACCCCCACCCCTCCACAACACACACACCCTGGTTGCTGGCAGCCAGGGGTATACATACTCTCAGACAGGAGAAACAGTTTCTCTCTACGGAAAAATGAAGAGCTCCAGAGGAAAGGTCTAAATATACTAATGTGTTAGCTTCCCCAATAAAACAGCCCAATCTCTGGAATTTTCTACCAAAGAAGTGAGATCCCAGATATATTGGGCCCACCTTACACCAAATACAAATGAATGGGGGGAAATCTCACTTATTTATGTCATGTAAAATTTCAGAGGACAAAGATGAAGTAAAGATGCAAAAAGATCCTAAGAAGGAAAACAGGTCACATTGAAGGATAGAAAGAGGAATTGCATTTTACCATTCAACAGCAACTTCAGGAAGCTAGAAGATACTGAAGCCTTGCCTTTCTAACTCAGCATGAAAAGTTCCTTTCCAACCTTAAATACTCAACTTAGCCAAACTATCAATCAGATGTGAGAATAAAGTCAGAAAACCTTTAGATATTCTAGAATAGGGGAAACAAAGTTTATCTTTCACATATTCTTTCTTAGAAACTTCAGGAGGATATACTTCTTCAATATAAGGAGGTAAAGCCTGAAAGAGGACGATGCAGTCCAGCCAGATGGCCCCGGCTAGGGAGAAGAGAAAGGACAAGTGTCACAGGGTGGCCCTCGGGAGAGGGTGCAGCTGACAGGAGGAGGAGATGGAGGGAGGGGGCTGGGAGGGTGTGAGTGACCTAGATTCCTATCAAAGCAGGTAAGCAGAGAACCCTGAAACTCATAAGTCAAAGAGTTTCATAAGCATTTTATAGAAATAGGGAAGCATATACCAAAAAAATGAAAGTAAGTTCCATTAAAGTAGGGATGTTTTTATTTTTTGTTGTTGTTGTTCTCCAAAGCCCAGAGTAGAATCTAGCACATAGATATTCAGCGTGTATTGTGTTAATGACTTCATTCAGGGGAAAAAATAAAATTCGAAGGCCTTGGGAGTGGGGCTTCCAGGGAAGAGTGGGGCAGGAGACTGCAGACTTTCATGTTGAGCCTGTTGGCAATATTTTCTTTTCAAACTATGTACTTGTATTACTCTGGTTAAAATTACTTTTGAGGGATCCCACGGTGGCGCAGCGGTTTGGCGCCTGCCTTTGGCCCAGGGCGCAATCCTGGAGACCCAGGATCGAATCCCACATCGGGCTCCCAGTGCATGGAGCCTGTTTCTCCCTCTGCCTCTCTCTCTCTCTCTCTCTCTCTCTGTGTGTGTGTGTGACTATCATAAATAAATAAAATGTGCTGTTTAAAAAAATAATAATAAAAAAATAAAATTACTTTTGAAAAAATTAAATAACTCAAAAAAGTATTCTTATTGAGCATTTAGCTTTAATTGTATACTTGAGTAATTTGTTAGGCACCATATGTCAAGTTACAGTGTTTTAAAATAAGTGATTCAGCAGTAGATATAATTTAGTTTATCTCGAGAAGAACTCTTACATACCTCTTTCTCTAGAAACTTGATACTAGGTAGTTCCTAGAAACTAAAATAGGAAAAGATTTGCTTCTTAACATATGTGGAAAAGAGGCCTCCCCCCATTCAGAGAGATGACCCCAGGAAGAACGAATGACCTGATCCTTCTCGGGCTACGCCTCTCTTCCATTTCTGAAAGCACGTGCCCATCTGCAGAGCAGTCTAAACGTAGCAAGGGGAAGCTTCAGGCTACCCATCTGCCTTGGGAGTTTTAGGAACTAAAAATACATTTGAAAATAGATGCCCTTTTCAAAGTATCAAAGTTATAATGCGTCCTTTTGTTTATTTTTGATAAGGTCCCCAGTTTCCTTTTTGCCCTGAGTAGACAATGTTCTGTGGTACCTGTTAGCTGACACCAAATGGGGGGGGGGGCGGGGTTTTCCATACCAGTTCTCCAATTCTCCAGCACCAGCTTTGTGTCCAGTAATTCACCTCAATTCTGATTCTCTGGTATTAGCATCAGATCTCTTCCCACTTCATACACCGGTCACAAAGTTGGTGTCCAGGCCACGCTCACTTTTGCAAATTCACAGGTTCCCATGACCCATCTCTCAGATTCAATAAATTGTTGGAAAGACTCACTGAATTTAGAAAAGCACTGTATATACTCTTGCCAGTTTATTATAAAGGATACAACCCAGGAATAGCCAAAGATACATCGGGCAATGGATATTGGAATTGAGTGCTGAGCTCCCATGCCCTCTGTGGGTGTACTACCCTCCCAGCACCTCCACATGTTCATGAACTCAGAAGCTCTCGGAACTCCATCATTTAGTGTTTCTTATGGAGGTTTCAATAGGTAAGCAGGATTGATTAAATCATTGCCTATGGGCAATTGAACTCAATGTCTAGCCCCTGAGTACAGGGAGCCTTGTAGGTCTTAATAAGGAGTTTGGTTGCTCAGGAAAATGGACCAAGGGACATAGGTGGTAGTGGGAACATGCATGGCAGTGGGGATACCAGCTATAGGTGACTGCAAGGGTCCAGGCAGAGACTTGGTGGTTTGGATTATGATGGTACCAGTAAAGATGGAAGGACATGCACAATATAGGATATGTTCAGTTAGCGAGATAAAACCTGACTGATGGGTCCAGTATGGAGATAGGCAACAGAGGAGGTGAGGAGCAGAGCTTTCTGGCTGTACAAATAGAGGGATGGTGAGGCCATGGTCCCCAAACCAGGATGGACCTGCAATCTGGAAACCAAAATACTCTGTATTATAAATATTAAGTAGGATATGTTCAGTAGGCAGTCATATGGAGATGTTGGGGCAGCAGCTGAATCTTATAAGTAGTTTTACAAGGAAGTAGTCTGAGCCAAAGATCATTTAATTTAAGGTGTGAGTAGAAAAGAAAACCCAGGACTGAGCCCTAGCACTGAGGAACTGCAGTACAAAGAGGGCAGGCTCTGAAGAATGACCCAGGGCTGTAGAAGGAGAGCTGACCAGTGAGAGAGGAGGAGGTTGTGGCTGCAGAAGCAGAGCAAAGGAGACGTTCAGGGAGGGACAAGGCAAGGTGAGGGGATGAGAACCAAGAAATGCCGCTGGACTCAGAGACACGGCATAGAGGACACAGCAGAGCAGAGCAAACAGCTGGCAGAGACAACTCTTTGGTGGAACGTGGATGCAGAAACGAGCTCTGAAGGATCGTGCTGCATAGCTTCTTGTTTTTTAAGATGGGAAGTACCAGAGCACATTTTATGTTGCTAATGGGGAAAGATCTAGCCAAGAAGAAGAGACTGATAATACAGGGGAGAAAGCGTTACTGATCCTCACGACTGTGAGAATGGCTAGGTCTTCTGAGGTCCTTAGTGGAGATAGGTAAAATAGGTAAGGTGCACAAAGCTGTGCTTCCTCGTTAGGAGTGGGAGGGGGCAGAAGGTGAGTACAGGGCAGGGTATCTATGGTTCTCTGTTGGAAGATGAGCGTATTCCCATCCAAGGGCATTCCTGTTCCCTGAGAAAGAGCAGGGGCAGTTCTGCAGGGGCGTGGGGAAGGTCTGGAACCCCCAGAGGAAGCAGAGTGGGATTGCTAAATGCTTAGTGTCCATCTAGCTCTCTTAAGACACTTTACCCCTCTTTGTAAATTCAAGATAATCTTAAGTTCTGTGGGAGAGCTTCATTTACCTGCTAGAAAATGTCATACATGCCTCATGCCTCAGCCTAATGTCCCCACCTCCCCAGTGCTACCCAGTGTTTCTATGACATGATTTCAGACAGAAGAGCCCCTCATACGTACATTCCAATGTCTGAATCATTTCTGTTTTAAGCAATGCCTGTCCCCATGTCGAGATTTACAAAGTAAAGTAGATGATGGTGCTCAGTAGTAAAGGATCTCAATTGGCTGAAAATAAAAGCAGTGTAATTCTTTCAGGTCTGTGACGAGAAGTTACTACAGAGGTGCTGCAGGAGCTCTCCTCGTCTATGACATCACCAGGTAATATGAAGACCCCCATGGAAGAAGCAGCTTGGGCCTGTGGCCACAGAGTCTGGTCTTCCCAAGGCTCACCTACATGTGTGTGTTTTGTGTGTCAGGCTAGGCAGTATGGCTGGGAATCTGGAATCCCCTCAGCCCTTTCATTTGGGGTCTGAGTGGAGTTCGAGCTAACCCCTACTACTACTTAACTGTATGAGGAAATCTGCTGGTGAACCTTTAGATATTAAAGCATCCCTAGTGTTTCATTATTTTTTTTAGCATGTGACATGTTTCTCACGGTTCACAAAGTGAAAGTTTATATGTGATAAATTATTAGAAGTAGTTGACATTGATGAAAGTCAAGGGCACAGGCTGTGGGCCTTGATTGCCTAGGTTCAAACCTCAGTTCCAGATCACTAGCTGTGTGGTGTCCCCGGGCAACGTGCTCTAGCCATCTGGACTTTTGTTTCCTTATCTGTTACCTGGAATAATGATGATCGTGTTATACTCATGAGATTTTCCGGTTATTAAATTGGTTAATATAAAGCTCTTGGCACATCCTAAGAATCTGAGTGCACTCTTCTGTGTGTAGCTATCATCCACATATCAGGAATTAAATTAAAAACTTAGTTCCTTGGTCTCACTTGCCCCATCTTGAGCACTCAGCCACATGTGGTTGGTGGCTACTGTATTGGACACTATGGGTTACGGCACATTCTTGTCCTTGTGGAAGTCCCCCTCAGACAGCGCTGATCCCAGTGTTAAAATGTCATCTATACCCCACCATCTGGTGGCTCTCTCTGGGTTGGAAACTTGCACAGCTGAGAGGGTGTTACTCTGTTGCTGCAACACATACCCAGTCTGCGTGTTCGGGATGAGGCACTGTGGCAAGAAGGTGTGCAGCTCCTGGCCCAGCCCTGCTGTACTTGCTCACAGTGTGAAAAGCTCAGCTTGTTAATGTATGAAGTCCTTAGGCTGTCTAAGCATGCCTGCAGAGCAGTATATACATATACTGAAAGTATCAGAGCTGAAAGCAGCGGATCTCAGAGTTGGTCCTGGAGTTAGATAGACCTGGTTAAGTTCTGCCTGGCTGTGCCACTGGCTCCTGGTATGGCTGGGCAACTTAATTAAACTCTCTGGGTTCAGGTTTCTCATGGAAAGGGGAGATAGATTCTGTGTCACAGAGTCCTTATAAAGAATGTAATAAATTCCTACAAAACAGTACCACCATATTGCACAGATCTGCTAAATGGCAACAGGTGTTAGATCTTGCTTACCCATGTTGCACATAATTGAGCTAAGACTTAAGAGCTCAATTAATATTTGCAAAACAAATTAAGGAACTTCTCTTTCCTTTTGGCACCCCAATTGGGCAAAAACAAACAGCTAAATATCTGGCTTGCTGTTTCATTTTTCTGTAAACAAAACCAACAAACCCTGTGGTATGATGTATAACTGGGCATGCAAGTTACCTGAGTCACCTTAAAGGTTGTCGACGTTACCCTGACGTATGTAAAAGCAGTGTGAGTAGTGTGAATGACTGGAAAGAGTTGCTAGTTTTATAAAATACATGTGCTATTTTCACAATCTTATATTACGCAGCCGAGAAACCTACAATGCGCTTACTAATTGGTTAACAGATGCCAGAATGCTAGCAAGTCAGAACATCGTGATCATCCTCTGTGGAAACAAGAAGGACCTGGACGCAGATCGTGAAGTTACTTTCTTAGAAGCCTCCAGATTTGCCCAAGAAAATGGCAAGTGATTTTTTACCTATTACTGCTTCTCAAATGGGCTGATTTGAAGATAATAACATTGCTTTGAGTTTATAACAGCTACTAGAATTTTAAGATTAAAACCATTTTTAAGAAATGTGAAATTTCCTATTGTGTTGAGTGCAATTAGACTTATTCAACATATTTTCACTATATTGCAGGCCACCTACCAAAGTTATTATTATGATAAAAGCAAATGTACCAATATCCTATAGTGACTTTTTGGTCTAGGGCCTTTGAATTACACAGGCTTTGATCTAAAGTGAAGTTTATAACAATAATTTTTAAAGGTCCTAATCGCATGATGTCTTGTCTTTTTTCTAATATAATAAGGAGCTAAGTTGGTGAAATGTTAGATCTAAATAGAAAGGGAAAGCAGTGGAAGAAATACTGGGCTTATTGGTTTTATTTTACTTACATTAAATTTAAGTTATTTGATTATATGCCTTTGAAAATTCTCTGAATTTTCATATGGAATACCAAAGGATGACACATAAAATTAATGGTTGCTTATAGATAACAGAATGATCGGAATTCAGACATTTTAAACAATTTTAATTTTTAGAACCAGTCAAGAACTAAAATATCCTAGTATCAATTTTCAGTTGGACTCTAGGACTACCAGATTATATTCTTACAAATTGACTGGTTTTATGCTAAGAAAATAAGCATGTGACAAAATCATAAGCCACCATGAATTTGTAAAGAAGCCATTTAGAAATACAGAAGCAAGGAGAGTCAGCCTTTCTGCTGGGTTAGTAAGTACAGTGGTAGATAAGGAAAGTATTAATTCATAGAGGACCTCTTCACCATCAGAATGACAACCTGCAGTGTAGTCACCCTCCTAAAATGATAGACTTGTCAGTTGTATTTGTGGTGACATGAAGAGTGGAAAATATTCATCTTGGATCGACAGCTGAGCTGCTGCAGGCAGCCTGCTTCCTTACCAGGATTTAATACCAGTACTTCCTTCCAATAGACTTAAGTGCCAGCACAAGATACCCATCACTTTTTAGAAAGGCTGAGAATTCTCCTAACAGTTAAAAAAATATACTGACATTTATTGATTCTGTATTTACAGAAATATGTGGTTTTTAAGTAATAAATTCCATTTTGCCTGCTATTTGAAGAGAATACTAAACAGGCTGTCAGTACTTCAGTTGTGATTATCTTCTAAACATGCCTTCACATTTTATTTGATGTCACTTTTAGAACTGATGTTTTTGGAAACAAGTGCACTAACGGGGGAGAATGTGGAAGAGGCCTTTGTACAATGTGCAAGAAAAATACTTAACAAAATTGAATCAGGTAAAAGGCTTTCCATTAATAAACTTTTCTTCAGCATATTTTACTCTCTAGCTAAGTATCACTTTTTAATTTTTTAGGAGTGATTTGGTCAAAGAGCATTTCTCTCTTCACCTGCCAACCTAAAATGGTCACTTATGGTTTTGAAGGTCTTATCTACATGGCGGAGGTGAAAGCCCACCCCTCCATGAGCCACTGGTGAAAGGATGGGCAGACAGGGTTTCAGGGAGGGTATGCTTTTAGAACCATGGCCTTTCATGGATCCATTGCTTACAGGAGGATGATTGGATCTTTGTCCACTCTCTGTCAGCAGCTTGCTAGCCCTGCTGGGCCAGTGGTTCTGTGGCCTGATGGGGACCTGCCTGTGTGACGTTAAGGAAATTATGGGTACATATGTGACGCTGGTACTTACAGCTTGGGCATCATGAAGAAATTATTTCTGAAGCCAACTGAGAATGCCTCAGTAATAACCTGTTTTGTTATTATATTTGTTGCTTCAGTAAAAATAAATTTAAAATAACCCTAATCTAGACAGCTGACAGTACTATATAATCGTCATTTATTAAAGTTGAGTCTTCTTTAAATATTACCAAAATTATATGTGGACATTAACTTTGTTGTTGTTTACTTACTTACTTGCTTAATTATTTGAGATATACATTTATTTATTTACTTATTTGAGAGAGAGATAACAAGAGTAAGCACAAGCAGAGGGAAAGCAGGCTAGATTCCAGGATCCTGATCCCAGGACCCTGAGATCATGACCTGAGCTGATGGCAGATGCCACTGAGCCACCCGGGCTCCCTGGACATTCACTTTTTAATTGATGCACTTAAATATATGAATATCTGTTCTTTGTCAGGTGCTGGGATACAAAAATGATTTTTTTAATGTTTTTTTTTTTAATTTATGATAGTCACAGAGAGAGAGAGAGAGAGGCAGAGATGCAGGCAGAGGGAGAAGCAGGCTCCACGCACCGGGAGCCCAACGTGGGATTCGATCCCGGGTCTCCAGGATCGCACCCTGGGCCAAAGGCAGGCGCTAAACCGCTGTGCCACCCAGGGATCCCCAAAAATGATTTAATTGTAACCCTTGCCCTCAAGAAACTGTCTTTCATGGGAGACATCAAAAGATAATTATAATACGGTGTGGTAGATACAGTAATTGAGGGATCCCTGGGTGGCACAGTGGTTTAGCGCCTGCCTTTGGCCCAGGGTGCGATCCTGGAGACCAGGGATCGAGTCCCACGTTGGGCTCCCTGCATGGAGCCTGCTTCTCCCTCTGCCTGTGTCTCTGCCTCTCTCTCTGTGTCTATCATGAATAAATAAATAAATCCTTAAAAAAAAAAAGGTACAGTAATTGAGGGGGTCATTGGATCCTGGGTGACACAGAGAAGGGGAACCTGCCCAGCCAGGTCACAGAGGTAGTGTCAGGCAGAGTTCCAAGAGGAGGTGACAGCTGAACTCATCTTTGACAGTGTAAGGAAGAGTGAGCTGGCTGAGGGAGTGAGGAGGAGAGGGTAGTCCTCCAGAGGGGGGATAGCATGATTTGAGGCTGGCAGAAAATGACTGGAAAATTGAAATCACTAGAACAGAGAGACTACGGTGAGGGATGGCCGATGAGAAGGTTGGAGAGAAGCAGAAGCCAGGCTAGTGATCCTCATCAAGGATCTGGAACTTTATCTTGTGGGTTACTGAGTCTCAACCCTGGCTGTACACTAGAGTCTCCTGGGATGTATGAAAATTCAGATCCCAGCCCCCACCTCTCAAGATGCTGATTAATTGGGCTGAAGTATGGTCTAGGCATCAGCATTTCTAAAAGCCCTCTTCTGGGGGTTTAGCGCCTGCCTTTGGCCCAGGGCGTGATCCTGGAGTCCTGGGATCGAATCCCATGTCGGGTTCCCTGCTTGGAGCCTGCTTCTCCCTCTGCCTGTGTCTCTGCCTCTCTCTGTGTGGGTCTCTCATGAATAAATAAATAAAATCTTTAAAAATAAATAAAAAATAAAAGCCCTCTTCTGTGACTGATGTTACTGTTAATCCAAGACTGAGAACCACTGCTGTAGAGGGCAGAAAGCTATTCAAGGATGGTAAGCAGTGACTGATATAGTCAGGTTGGAACTTGAGATAAATCATGTATGTTGGTGGCCATGTTGAAGACAGATTGAAAGAACCAAGACTGGAGACCAGGATGGCAATTAAGGCATTTTTTAATAATCCAAGTAAAAGACTGATTAGAGCTTTAAGGAGGATGTGAATTAGAGATGAAAAGATACAGATAAATCTAAGAAATATTTTGGTAGTAGCATCATATAACTCATATGCTAAATAGTAGGGCAGAGCAGTTGGTTTTGAGGTGGGAAGTGGTGAGATGGGGTCAGGAAGGCATGAGGAACCATGGGTAGCTAGATGTCACACTAGGGTAATTCGGTAAAGAAATGTCATTGAACCAGAGGATAAGTAGGTTCAAGGGAATATGGATGTTTCTGTTTTGGATGTGTTCCCTTTGCAGTACCACTGGCACAAGCCCGTGGAATTATCTCTTAAGCTCTGGGGAGAAGTCTGGACTGGCGGTACACATTGGGAGCCATCAGGATATAGGAGTAGTTGAAACTGTGGAAGAAATATGATAATCTGAGAGCAGCTAAAAGTGAGAAAAACAGTGATGGAAGTGGAATCTTAGAGACAGAGTAAGAAGAAGAGGAACCTACAAAAGAGAAAGAGAAGGAAATTGTTAGAGATGTATGGAAAGAGCCAGGGGAAAGTGGGCATCATTTCAGCCAAAATGATGAGTCAAAGACTTGTTCACTATCAGCGCAATAGAGAACAGTCTCCTCAGCTAAGAACTACGCTAAAAAAATACCCACTGGGGTGGGTAATAGGAAGTCATTGGGTGTCTTTATCAAGAACAGCTCCAGTAGAATTATGAAAATAGAAGGCAGCAAGTGAGGAGAATGAAAAGGAGGTGAGAAAGCAGAGTGAGTGTTGACTCCTCTCTTGAGAAGGAAAGTGCTGGTAGTGTAGGGTATAAAGGGTTAATTTAAAGAGGTTTTGGTGGGGCACCTGGGTGGCTCAGTGGTTGAGTGTCTGCCTTTGGTTCAGATCCTCAGATTATGATCCCCAGGGTCCTCGGATCCAGTCTCACATCGGGCTCCCCAGGGGGAGCCTGCTTCTCCCTCTACCTATGTCTCTGCCTCTCTCTCTCTGTCTCTTATGAATAAATAAATAAAATCCTAAAAAAAATAAAGACGTTTTGGTGATGGAAGAAATGTTAGCATGTATGAATGCTGAGAGATAAAACAAGGTGGAAGGGGAAGGAGAAGAGGGTGGAGAGGAGATGACAGAGACACTAGGGTGCTGGGTGAGGTGCAGGGAGAGAGGGTTAGGAACCCAGATGGAAAACAGAGACAGTTCATCCTGGATTTTATTGATCTGAAAACAAACAAAAAAAAATTTTTACTAAATTTGGTACACAATTGTTATTAATTTTTATGCTTATTGTTATTATTCATCTTGGCATGAAGTTTTATTTAATTACCTTGCTACCTTAATATTGCATCCATGGATATAGTACGTATAAATTGACTCATAATGAAACTTTCAAGATATATTTCTTTTGAGATCATCAAAACCATAATTACATCTAAGTTAAGTTGAAGTATTTCAGCAGTACTTTAAAATTTCTGAATAAGCTGCACATTCATATGATTCAAAAACCATTATTTCCTCTTTTTTAAAAAAATTTATTTATTAGAGAGAGGAGAGAATGAGAGAGTGTGTATGCATGTGAGCAAAGGAAAAGGCAGAGAGAGGGAAAAGGAGAGAAGCAGACTGCTCACTGAGAGTGGAGCCCGATGCGGGGGTCAGTCTCACCACCCTGAGATCATGACCTGAGCCAAAAATCAAGAGTCAGTCGGTTAACCAACTGGGCCACCCAGGCACCCCTCCTCCTCTCTTTTTTTTGCACAAAAGTTAGCATGCTGTAAATTCTACTGTACCTTGCTTTTATACCTACTAGGTCTACAGATCATTACATATCAACATATAGAGACTTCCATATACATATGTATACATATGTACATACATATACATGTGTACGTGTGTATATTTAATATTCATTTATTTATATTGCCATAATTTATTTAACCAGTCTATGTGTGAAGTGTATTTATAGGATAAGTTACCAAAAGTGGAATTGCTAGGTTAAAGAACATAAGCATTTGGAATTTAGGTAAAGGCTGTCAAATTCCTTCTATTTTGGTTGTAGCAATTTATAATCCCACTATAATGAATAAAAGGGGTTATTTCACTGAATGCCCACAGGGTATATTATCATACCAGTCTGGGTAGGTAGGAAATGGTGTCTTTGTAGTTTAATTTTATTAATTTATCTTTGTATACATAATATATTCATATAATCCCAAATTAAAAAAATATAAAAGCAGATATAGTAAAAGTCTCCCTCCATTACCTGTCTCCTGTCCCCAACCCATCTAAAACTCCTTTTTGAAGTCAACTGTTATTCTCACTTTTTTATGTCTCCTTCCAAAGATATTCTTATGCCCATATAAGAAAACCTATGTATATATTTTTTCCTCTTTATTCAAAACATTGTTTATACACATGTTCCACATTTTGCTTTTTTCACTTAATATATTTTTGGGATCACAGAAACATAAAAACTTTTTTAAGGGGAATCCCTGAGTGGCTCAGCGGTTTAGCGCCTGTCAGCTGGCGTGATCCTAGAGCCCTGGGATCGAGTCCCACATCAGGCTCCCTGCATGGAGCCTGCTTCTCCCTCTGCCTGTGTCTCTGCCTCTCTTTCTCTCTATGACTTTCATGAATAAATAAATAAAATCTTTAAAAATATATATATTTGCTTGGTCCTCAGGTGAGCTGGACCCAGAAAGAATGGGCTCTGGTATTCAGTATGGAGATGCTGCCTTGAGACAGTTGCGGTCACCACGTCGTGCACAGGCCCCAAGTGCTCAGGAATGTGGTTGTTAGAAGCAGGATGAGAGTATACAGGTAGGTGCTCTCATCATAGCATCTTTGCTGACTCTCTTACCCTAAACTATGTTCATTACTCAGTATTTCTACACATGCTTAATGTAAAGCTGTTATTGCTTTTTGTAGCTACATTATGAAACCCAGAGGTGATTGTGTAATTAAAAGTCAGATATTTTCAACAACAGTGGAATACCCATTCTTCTCAAGCTCACATGGAACATTCACCAAGATAGACCACATTCTGGGCTATAAAACACACTTTAACAAATTTAAAAGAATAGAAACCATACAATGTCTTCTCTTAGACCACAATGGAATTAAACTAGAAGTCAGTAACAGAAAGATAACTGTAAAATCCAAAATATGTGGAAGTTAAACATCCTTTGAAATAAGTCATGGGTCAAAGAAGAAATCTCAAGAGGAACTTAAAAACATTTTGAACTAAATGAAAATCAAAACACAACATACCAAAATGTGGGGGGATGCCCCACATTCTCAGTGCTTAGAGGGCAATGTATAATGTTGAATGCATACTTAGAAAAGAAGAAAGCGGGGATCCCTGGGTGGCTCAGCGGTTTAGCGCCTGCCTTCGGCCCAGGGCATGATCCTGGAGTCCCGGGATCGAGTCCCACATCGGGCTCCCTGCATGGAGCCTGCCTCTTCCTCTGCCTGTGTCTCTGCCTTTCTCCTTTCTGTGTGTCTCATGAATGAATAAATAAAATATTTTAAAAAAAAAGAAGAAAAGAAGAAGAAGAAAGCTCTAAAATCAGTTATCTAAGTGTCCATCATAGGCTATTATAAAAAGAAGAGCAAATTAAATTCAAAGTAGGCAGAAGAAAAAATAAAAAATACAGCAGAAATTAATGAAATTAAAACCAGAAAATCAATAGAGAAAAATCAATAAAATCAAAGCTGATATTTTGAAAAGATCAATAAAATCAATAAGCCTGTAACCAGGCTAATTAAGAAAAAGGGGAAATATAAATTACTAAAATCAGAAATGAAAGAAGGTACATCACTGTAGATATACGGACTTTAAAAGATTAATAAAGGAACACTATGAATAATTCTGTGCCCCCAAATTTAATAACATAGATGAGAAACAGACAAATTCTTTGAAAGACATGATTTGCCAAAATTCAAGAAAAAATAGACAATTTGAAGAGGTCTACATCTATAAAGAAATTGAACCAATAATTAATAATCTTCCAAAACAAAGTACTGGGCCCACATGGGTTCCCTGGTGTATTCTACCAAACATCTAAGGAAGAAATTACACCATTTCTCTACAATCTCTTTCACAGGAGAGAAGCAGATTGAATTCTTCCTACCTTATTCTATGAAGCCAGCATTACCCTAATTCCAAAACCAGACAAAGACATTGCAAGAAAACTACAGACCAATATCTCATGAATATAGATGCAAAAATCCTCAATAAAATACTAGCAAATCAAATCCAGCAATGTACAAAAAGAATTATAAACCACTTCCAAGTGGGATTTATCCCAGGTTTGCAAGGCTAGTTCAGCATTCCAAAATCAGTTAGTGTAATCCATCACAGCAATGGGCTAAAGAAGAAAAATCATATGGTCCTATCAAGAGAAAAATCATTTGACAAAATCCAACACCCATTCATGATGAAAATTCTCAGTAAACTAGGACTAGAGGGGAATTTCCTCAGCTTGGTAAAGATCATCTACAGAAAACTACCACTAACATCTTCAGACTTGAAGCTTTCTTGCTAATAGAAGTGGGGTGAGGATATCCCCTCTCACCACCCCTTTTCAATATCATACTGGAAGTTCTAACTAATGCAGTAAGATAAGAAAAGGAAATAAAAGGTATACAGATAGGGAAGGAAGAAATTAACTGTCTTTGTTCACAGTCGGCATGGTTCTCTACGTAGAAAATCTCAAAGAATCCACAAACTCCTACCTAAGCAATCATACAGCAAGATTATATATAGCAGGATATAGGTTGGTATACAAAGTCAATCACTTTTCTATATACAAGCAATGAACAAGTGCAGTTTGAAATTAAAAACACAATACTGTTTACATTGGCATTCAAAAAAATTTTAGGGGGCAGCCCCGGTGGCGCAGCGGTTTAGCGCCGCCTGCAGCCTAGGGTGTGATCCTGGAGACCCTGGATCAAGTCCAACGTCAGGCTCTCTATATGGTGCCTGCTTCTCCCTCTGGCTGTGTCTCTGCCTCTCTCTCTCTCTCTCTCTCTCTCTCTCTCTCTGAATAAATAAATTAAAAATCTTAAAAAAAATTTAGGTATAATTCTGATAAAATATGTACAAGATCTATATGAGGAAAACCAAACTGATTCTAAAGTTTATATGGAGTGGCAAAAGGATTGAAGGATTGAAGAAGAACAGGATTGAAGAAGAACAAAATTGGAGGACTGTGGCTGCTGGACTTCAAGACACCATATAGCTATGGTAGTCAAGACAGTTTGGTAGAAACGAAAGAAGAAACAAATATATCAGTAGAACAGAATAGAGAGCCCAGAAATACATTCATAAATATAGTCAACTGATCTTTGCATAAGGAGCAGAGATGAGGCAATGGAGCAAAGGTAGTCCTTTCAACAAAAGGTGCTAGAACAACTGTGCATCCGCATTAAAAAAAAAAAAATCTAGACACATACCTTACACCCTTCATAAACATTAACTCAAAATGGATCATAGACCCAGATGTAAAACCTAAGATGACCTTGGGTATAATGATACAACTAAATCCACTAAAAACATAATTGATAAGCTAGACTCTATTATAAAACTTCTGCTCGAGGAAAGGCAACAAGATAGAGAAGACAAGCCACAAAATGGGAGAAAATATCTCTAAAAGATACCGAATGAAGGATTGTTATTCAACTATATAAAGAACCCTTAAAATTTAACAATAAGAAAATAACTCAATTTAAAAATGGGCCAAAGACTATAACAGACACCTCACCAAAGAAGGCATACTAACTATAGATGGCAGTAAGTATGTGAAAAGATACTCCCCATCGATGTTGACAGGAAAATCCAAATTAAAGCAACAATGAGGTACCACGACAACATACTTATTAGAATAGGCACAGTACAAGACACTGACAACACCAAATGTGAGCAAGAATGTGGAGCAGTAGGAACTGTCATTGATTGCTGGTGGGAATGCAAAATGGTACAGCCACTTTGGAAGACAGTGTGGCAGCTTCTTACAAAACTAAACATGCTCTGTAAATATGATCCAGCAGTCTCACTCGTTGGTATTTATCCAAGGGAGTTGGAAACAAAAGTCTGGGGTGCCTGGCTGGCTGGTAGAACGTGTGACTCTTACTCTCAGGGTCATGAGTTCAAGGCCCACATTAGGCGTGGAGTCTATGCAAAAAGAAAAAAAAGAAAACATAAAAATCTGCACATGGATGTTTATAGCAGCTTTATTCATAATTACTCAAACTTGGAAGCAAGTAAGATGGCCTTTAGCAAATGGATAACTAAACTGTACATCCAAGCAATGGATTATTTGGTGCTGAAAAGATACGAGCTATCAAGCCATGAAAAAGCAGAGAGGAACTTTCAATGCATATTACTAAATGGATGATGCCAATCTGAAGAAAAGGCGATATGCTGTATGATTCCAACATATGACACTCTGGAAAGGCAAAACGAGGACAATAAGAAAAAGAAACCCGCTGGTGGTCAGGGGTAGGGGTTGGGAAGGATGAATAGGCAGAGCATGGAGGATATTTGGGGCAGTGAAAGTACTCTATAATACCGTAATGGTGGATATATGTCATTATATATTTGTCCAATGTATGGCATCAGAAGTGAACTGCGATGTAAATAACAGTCTTTGGGTGATGATGGTGATGTGTCATTGTAGCTTCATCAGATGTACCTCTCTGGTCCTAGGTGTTGATAATGGGGGAGGCTCTGCATGTGTGAAGGCAGGGGCATATGGTAAATCTGGGACTTTTCCCTCACCTGTGCTATGAACCTAAAATTGCTCAAAAAAATAAAAATAAAATCTTAATAAGAAAAAAGTCTTAAAGCAACATCACAGAGTTTGGGCTATTAAGCCAACATAAGAATTTAAACAGAATAAACATATAATTTGAATAAAAAGAAGGCAAGAGGAGGAAAGGAGTAAAGAACAGATCAAATAGGAAATGGTAGATTAAACCGATTAAAAAAGATGTTCTGCTTGAAAGAATTTAAACTTTATAGGAAATCCTTGGGTTCTTGGGTTCTTGGTCAGAAAGAGAGAAGAGTGGTAGGTGATGAGAGTAATTGGGTTAGAGATTTTTCTGCTTTTGTATCCATAAGGAGACTTTTTTTGTGGTAAATTTAAGTCTAAATATGTCTGTTGCTAAAATAGAAGGCTTATTTATAAAATTTGCAAATGGAGAGTTTACCTTTCTAAAGCTTTTGTTTTTTTCATTTACTACAGTGGACTTTTTTATGTACCTACCACATTATCTAACAGGGTAGGTAAGTTTAAGTAAAGTTGGAAGATACATTCACTAAGTCCCTATGGAACTTTGAGCTGTATTTGTACATTTATAGTTCTGCATATTTCTAAATTGTTCTTAATATTTTTTAGGTGTTCATACAGTGGTATTTGGGACAATTGTTGGAGCTTGGAGAAGAAGTTTTTTACCACCATCTTTTTCTACTTTATACAGAAGTAGATATTTGTGTGAAGAAAAATAATTTGGGGTGTTACACAAGCTCGTAGATGTGGCACAGCAAATCATATAACAATAAATCTCGTTAAATGGACAGTACCATTAGATGTATACATGTATGTAAAAATTTTCTGTTCTATATTTCCCTTTCACTTTTGGTTTAAATCCTGACTGTTTGCTGTATATATACTCTTGCTCAATACGTCTCCACAGCATGGTATCTGATGTAGGATATGATAGAATGTTGCTCTAAATGCAGTCTAAAATTTTATTTTTTTTAATCATATGAACTGAAATCTGTTAATGGTGAGGTGTACTTTGATCATCATGTCAGGTATGTTGCACAGTTGGTTATATTTATGACCTGATATTCAAAGACTGGCATTGATGGCCAGTGCAGTGCTTATTTAATTCCGTCTACCACAGTCCACACAGTGTTTACATAATCCACCCTTGAAATACTAGATCAGTAGTTACTCATGTATGGAAATAAAATGAAAAGTAAAGCTTCTCCATGAACATTACACTGTCCAGCACTCTGTTGATTTTAAAGTATCTTCATCCAGACCAATTCAGGAAACATAGCCTGAGTACCTGCTGTGTTTTAGGCACTGTGATCACCACCAAGGATTCTGTTATCTTTACCCAAACTTACTAAGGAATTGACTGCTTTCAGCTGTCTGTAAATGCAATGAACCGTGTAATTTGGGGCTGCTCACCTGTTCCTGGTTTGCTGCTCTATCTGGTCTCCCTGTTGGAAAACTTGTTTGTTACTGTGCTTTTCCTGGGATTCAGTGTATGATGTCATTGCTTCTTTTTTAAGTCTTTTATTATGTTTTCATTTTAAGGAAGCCCACTAAATGAAGTTAATATTAAAGGAATACCACTCATTAAGAAATTTCTGTATAGCTTTCGCTGAATACTTAAATGCCTTACTACAGTTATCAAGTTGACATGTTTTTAATTCACCTAAGGTATATTGAAGTATAATATATATTGTATTACAAAGACTTGTTCTAATATTTTAAAATGTCAATGCAAAAAACATGTAATAGAACTTTTCTTTAAAGTTGAAATACAGTATTATTTAAGGCTAAATGGTTAAAAAGCATTCTTCACCATCTATATGTTCTTTCACTGTGACTTTTAGCTGCAGACTGATTGGTAGATTTCATTGCCTTTCAGTTAGAAGCTGCCCACTGCTTTCGTTGTTTTAGTTAATCAACAGAGCACAGTGGTGCTACAAACTCTGGAAAGTGACTTGGATAAAAATATCAGTATGTATCTGTTTTAGGTATTTTAATTTTGCTTTTTTTTTTAATGCTTTGGATATCTTCTTTTGAAATGTCAGAATATGAAGGAAATTCTCAGACTGAACTACTTCTTGGACCTCACTGGAAGAACGTTCGATTCAATGTCTCATTTATGGTAGTTTTGCAGGCTGCTCATTTTTGAACAGCTTTTTGCATGGGATAGAAGCATGTCTATTCTACCACAGTGGATTATTCAAAAGCAAGAATTTTTAAAATAAGATGTTAAGTTGGTTTATAAATGAGCCTATTAATTAAACCACAGGTACTGAATATAATTCCACATCTTTTGACCAATAAAAGTTGCTGGAGAACCAAACTATGGTGGTTCTTAATAAAGGCCTTCAAGAGAAATGAAGGAGGATAATTTAGTCTTGGTCAGTAGAGTGTTTTCCAACACCCTCAACCAATTCTCTGAGTCTCTAGAGATGCTAGTGAGGTGGCCTACAATTCAGTTCTGACATTTTCTACCTGGAGATAGTATCAGATTCTGCAGGTTACACACTTTGTCTGCCCTGCCCCTTAACACACATACACACTTCAGGCGTCAGTAACAAGCAAGTTACCTGTGCTTCTGACCAACCAGCTAGAAATCTGAGGTTCCCAGGAATTTAGCTCTGTGCCAGGAATCAGGGACAAAAAACCAAGTATATGTTATTATATCATAGTCCAGTAAATGTTATGCATACATTTTCCACAACTTACTAAGTTTTCAGGATTTTCTTAATTCACATTTCTAGAAAAGTATTTTTTCAGTCTTCCTAGAAAAATATTCTAAACTCCATTTAGACTTAAAGTTGTTTATTCTTTTACAGGTCCAGTATTTAGTGAAAATAAGAATGTCACATCAGTAATGGTTTTATTGAAAATCTGTTTTTTGTGACTTATGTAAGAGTTTTTGAAATCTTAAGGAACATTGATTCCTAGCAGATCAGTATTATTCGGAGTGATGAAGAATCTGATGTTAAAATTAGAAATTTAAATCATTAGCAATTCATACTGCAACATAGTAGGTGGTTCTTCATTCTCTGTCAAATTTATCCTTTTTTTCTTTTTTTGGAAGGGAGATTTAGAGGGACTTTAAAACACCTGTGAATTCTTAGTAATGTTTTTGTGTGCCAGTTGTAAAGTGAACCTCTTTCCTAATTATTCTACCCGTTCATATACAAATAATCGGAGTTTGTCCTAGTTGTTGCTTGGTTACTTTCCAATTGCATTAAATTCTTCAAGGAGTTGTTTTTAGACCTTTAAACGGATTTGAGAACACCCAACAGATTCAGGAAGACCCATTGATGAGCAAGTGTCAGCCATCACCCTATCGAGTTAGAAAATACTGCTTACTGTGAGAAGGCAGTAGTGGGATCTGGGCATCTGTGTGTGTGTCTTCGTTTGCTCTACCTTTGCCCCATTTTTCAATTCTGTGGCATTTGGAAACCTCCAAGGCATCTGTCCTTGCACCCAAAACTATCTGGTATGCATCTCTGAAAATAATTTGTTTTTAATTTTATATAATCACCATACCATTGGGAACTTCTTAAAAGATACCGATACAAAGCCAAGAATGGTGGTTTCTCTTACCTTGGAGTTACATAAAGTTTTCAAGCATATAACGAGAAAGCAAAGTGTACATCTTAAAAAAAAAAAACAAACAAAGTGTACATCTTTCATACAGTATTTTCGGGGCATGTGGCTAATTGTACCAGAAGTGCTGACCTTGGCGCAAGGGACACTCGTGCCTGCGGCAGGAACACCCGGGCAGCCAGCCTGCTACCCATGGCCAGCACAGCATCAGAGCGGTTGGTAAATGTTGGTTGGTAAATATTTTCAGTATCACCTCTGCCAGTGTAGTAACAAGAAGCATACTTCATTTAAATCCTCTCAATGTGTTTGTATCACATTATGAAGAATGTATTTAACTTTGACTTACGCTAACCAAGTATGAGGTGGGTTGAGCCATGTCATAAACTTGCAGTAATCTCAGCTGCTTCTGCTAGAAGACCTCGTCCTTAGACCTCTGTGGGGAACTGAATGAAAAGATAAGCCGCTGCTCTGACAACTTCTTTCTCTAACTTCTGGGCGACATAGCTAAGTTTCATTTTAAAGAAAACTAGTGTTAAGTAAACAAATTTGCATTCCAAAATATCATGGAGATAATTGTGTTCACTAAATATTTAAGGACCTAGCTAACTATGTGTGAAAGTAGGATGCTGATTTCTGTAGGCTTGGGGGGGGGGGGCTCCAATAATTTTGCATTGAGTTTTCTCTTTTTTTGTAATATAAGTAATTCAGAGTAAGTCTCCCACATTATTCCCTTTTCCAGAAAAGTCATTATATTCATTTCCATGGCCATAAGTGTACATTACATACCCCATAGTACATAGTATGCCCATTTCCAGGGGAGAGTGATGCTCTGATAAGACACTCGTGCTTCTCTGAATGTCCCCCTGCTTTCCCATTGCCTCTGTGGCTTTGTGTGGACTGTGTGTTCTCCTCGTTTGTAATACACCCCACCTGCTCTCCCAGGCTGTCAGGCTGCAGCCCTGTCGTCTTGTGTTGCACTGTAGAATTTCTCTGCTGGGAGCCTTCTCTGAGCCCCTTCCCACCCCTGGACATAGGCCCACACATTCTGCTCTTGTCATTCTCTCTCCTAACTTTTGATATTGTCACGTTTATCTGTATGTTATCCGTATTTGTCTCCACTCATGGGCTGAGACCTCCCTAGGACAGGCTGCCTTTTGTACACCCAATGCCCAGTACATAGGAGTACTTGTGGAAAGGACAGATGAGGTGTCAGTTCTGTCCCCAATGCTTTCTAACATAGTCAGATGTTCAGTCTATGCACTGCAAGATCCCTTTTTGCAAAATCCCCGAAAGATGGTCATATGATCCTGCTAAATCCCTTCCTGTCTGGGAGGGAGACAGGGCTCTAACTCCTAGAGCCCCTTTCCAGATGACATCACCAAGATGGTAAAGTAGAAGGTCCCAGCCTCTGTCCCCCCCCCCCCAACTCCCCACACAGATCAGCTTGGACAACATCAGACAGCTGTCTGCAAAATCAGCTCCAAGACAGCTCAGGAGTCCACTGAAGATCTTCAACACAATGAGACAAAAAACCTGAGAATAACCACAAATAAAGGGAAGGAAAAACAGCTTCATCCTGCCTGTGTTCTCTCATCTTGCAGACCAGCATTGCTCAGCACCGAGAGAACTCCCTGGCTAGAGTTTTCAGCACCAGGGAAAGGAGAGTCGGGGGACCAGCCAGTCTCCCTAGCCTTTTGGGGCATCACACAAAGGACCCACTTCAGTTTTACACCACTCAGAGGCTTGCAATGCTGAGACCTATGCATCTCTGAAAATAATTTGTTTTTAATTTTATATAATCACCATACCATTGGGAACTTGGTATGACTAAGAACAAGGAAGAGGGCCAAGGGCTAACAGCAGCTACTCTGCAAGAGCAACCATGGTGGCCAGTGACCTGCTCTGAAGAGGACCCCACACCTTTCACCACTGAAGAAATAAACAGCTGGTACACCATGTGGATCCCCTGCAGATTTCATTCCTTTTTTGACCCACCACCAAATGCCTGAGTCCCTTTCTGCTCCCTCCCAGTGCCCCTGCGGGAGCCTGAGATCTGCATTGGCAGCTCACCCAGGCCTCTGCAGCTGTACAAGTGCAGGATGCCAGCCTGGGACAGCCCCCCCCACACACACACACACCCCATACCTGACCCCCCAATGCCACATGCACACTCGCCCCTCCAGCTGTGCCCTTGCAGGCCACCAGCCTGACTAATCCCTGGTCAGTCCTGCAATCATAGAAGTGCACGCCAACAGCCAGGGTCCCCCAGCTGCTTGCTTGTGAGCCTGCAGCTGGCTCCAGTGGTAGTTGCTGCCTATGGCCCCAGCCTCTGTGGCTGGCTTCCACAGCCAAGTATGTGCACAGCCACCACTGCTGCCTGCCCTGGTCCCTAGCCACTGGACTTGAAGGCATCACTGAGGATCCCGATAGCCCTTGAAGCCACTGCAGACCCCCCATAGCACTGGCAAAGGATCATACAGTTGATGCTGTGGACCATAGTGGCCTGAACCAGTGCAGCATCAGACTTGGAGCTGCCATACTGCCCTGCTCTTGGTACCCTGAACTACTGCTCTTGAAGACCGAGCATGCTCCAGCAGGCCCCACTCAGGTGATGGTCTTTCCTTACTGAAGCCAGTCCATCAAGTCTGGAAGAGGTGACTGCTTCTTCAAATGCACATACACCTACACAAGGTGACAGAGAATCAGGGAACATAACAGCACCAAAAGAACACCATAAACTCCCAGTAGCTGATCCCCAAACGAATGGAAATACATGCATTACCTGATAAAGAATTAAAAACATTGTTCTGAAGATGCTCAGAGAGCTACAAGGGAATGTGAACAGTTTCACAAAATCAGAAAAATACAAGAACAAAATGAGTTGAGAAAACAATAACCACACAAATTTTGGAGCTGAAGAATACAATTACTAAAATGAAGAATTCAGTAGAGAGCTTCAACAGCAGACTGGATGAAACAGAAGAAAGAATCCACGAGCTTGAAGGCAGATGGTTTGAAATTACCCAGTCCAAAAAAAAAAAAAAAATGAAATTACCCAGTCAGAGAAGCAAAGAAACAATGAAAAGGAATGAAGAAAGCCTATGGGACATATGGGACACCATTAAGAAACAATCTAGGGCAGCCCCTGTGGCTCAGCAGTTTAGCGCCGCCCATGGCATCCTGGAGACCCAGGATAGAGTCCCACGTCAGGCTCCCTGCATGGAGCCTGCTTCTCCCTCTGCCTATGTCTCTGCCTCTCCCTCTCTCTCTCTCTCTCTCTCTCTCTCTCTCTCTTTGTGTCTCCATGAATAAATAAATAAAATCTTTAAAAAAAAAAAAAGAAATCTATACATGGCTTTGGAGTCCCTGAAGAAGGGGAGGGAGAAGGAGGAGAATGCTTTTTTATTTTATTTTTTAAAGACTATTTATTCATGAGAGACACAGAGAGGCAAAGACACAGGCAGAGGGAGAAGCAGGCTCCATGCAGGGAGCCTGACCTGGGACTCAATCCTGGGTCTCCAGGATCAGGCTGTGGGGTGAAGGTGGCGCTAAACTGCTGAGCACCCCCAGACTGCCCAAGAATGCTTTTTTAAAGAAGTAGTGGCAGGGACGCCTGGGTGGCTCAGTTGGTTACAGTTACGTGGCTGCCTTTGGCTCAGGCCATGATCTCGGGGTCCTGGGGTCAAACCCCATATCAGGCTCCCTGCTCAGCGGGGAGTAGGCTTCTCCCTCTGACCCTCCCTGCCACTTGTGTGAGCTTTCTCTCACTCTCTCTCAAATCTTTTTTAAAAATAAATAAGTAGTGACTGAGAACTTTCCAAACCAGGGAAGACATCTGGACATCCAAGTTCTTGAAGCTGATGAGTCACACCAAAATTTCAGTTCAAAACTGTCTTCTCCAAGACACATAATAAAAGTGTCTAAAATCGTATGTCCTCATGCATATGATACTCCTTTTCCAAATGTTGGGTAACAAACAGAGTTACCCAGTTATTTTACATTCTAGGGGTAAGAGCTTTGACATTTGGAGAGGAGCCTTTCTTGTTCGGATTAGTATTTTTGGGGAGTTCTATCTGTACTCTTGGCTGGCCTCTTAGTACCTCAGGGTACAACCCGTGGGCAAGCAGGTACTCAAGGTATGCTCTCTATCTTCATGACCTGCTGCTATAAGAACGGAGATTTAGGCTTGAGGACTGTGAGAAGCAATTGAGGTTGTGATTATTAATAAGCCTCTGCTTTCAGGCCTAGATGTGCTCAGCTATCTAAGTATTGTATGATGGTCACAAATGCTTGGGGTGAAATGTGTCAAATCTCTCCATTTTGTTAATTACGTACTCTGTTACAGTTGACAAGTCCCCATGTTGGAGAAGCCAGATCCTGAAAACTGGGAAACTGCTGTCTTTTCAAAGGGAATGGCAAATAGTTGTTCTACTGTAATACTAAGATTAAATGATTTCACCTGAAACTTGAACTTTGTATCTATTTAAGTTGTTTATACAGGTTTGTTTTTTTTTTTTAATAAATTTTTATTTATTTATGATAGTCACACAGAGAGCGAGAGAGAGAGAGGCAGAGACACAGGCAGAGGGAGAAGCAGGCTCCATGCA